TAACACTGCACCGAGTTCTACCGTGACGGCTGTAATCAGGTGTCTTGCGGTCCCTGTCAGCCATGTGTAACATCCCTCTCTCTCTCCGTAGACGTCCAGGATGTACACCATGCCGCTGTACGACGACCTGGTTTCCGGGGTGATGAAGTGCTTCGCCGTGGAGATCTTCAACCAGACTCAGTGCCGCCTGCATCCCAACCTCAGACGGACGTTACAGTCGATCCTGTTTCAGACCGCCGCCGCCCCGACCAATCAGAACGGCTCTGCTCTGTCCATCCTGCCCCCCTCCCCCTCCACCTCCCCACAGCCCGCTGCCACGCCACCTGTCTCCTCCGCCGCCACAGCAGCTGCTGGGACAACCGCTGCCATCGCTCTGCGGGACGTCAACGTCTCTGCGTGAAGTGATCGTCAGGTGGCGGTGGCTGTGATTGGTCGCTGTGGACGCGTGGATGCTGTTGTTGTGATGATGTAAGCTGTTGCCATGGCGACGGCTCCAGCCGACTCAGAACTGCAGTCGCTGAAAGTTTGAACACTGTGATGAAGAAAACTCCGCCTCCGTACGACAGGAAATTCACTCCAGGTCGCGACAGGAAGTTGATTCTGACAGGGGTTAAAGGTCACCACTCAGGGCTGTTGCTGGATGATGACTCATTATCATGTGACTCATCATCATGTGGCTCATCATGTGACGTCCACGTGAGACCCCCTCAGACTGCGGCCAGCAGCCCTGAGACGGCTCCTCTGATTGGGCGTCAGCGGAGTCCCCTGAAGATTTACACATTTTTACTCCTCGGTGCAATTTAACTGATAACTTGAAAAAAGACGTTTTCTTTTTTTTTATTATCATCCTCTCTGAGATTTAACAGTTGATTTATTGATCGTCTTGATTGATCACAACCTGGAGGCTCATTTCTGCCACTAAAGGAAAAGTTCAAACTACAAGCTAATTAGTATAATAATAATAATAATAATAATAATAATAATATTTCGATTATTAAAGTCACTGTGTGAGGATGTTTTTGAATATTTGAACGTTCAGTGAACACTCTGATTTTCATTGATTGCTGATTAAAAGTCTCAGAAAATAACTGAACTGTTGATCAGAAAACTGTCATCAGAAGAGTTTCCAGCTAATCACTAATGAATGAATCTGTTGGATATTCAATGTTCCAACGTGGGCTGTTAAAAGAGTGTCACATAACGAGGTAAAAAGCTCTAAATTCAGACCCTGAATGTTTCCAACCTCTTTTCTACTTTATGTGACAAACAGCCGACGTCAGCTCGTCACCTCGAAAAAAGTCAAACGGATCAAAATGATGCTGAAATAACGACATCATGGTGGCGATCACTCTGTCGGTCCGTCTGCAAGACGACGAGCCAGCAGCTTTTAAAATGCTTGTTTTCTGCTTTTTCCTCTGATGTCTGCAGCTTCTCTGCCTCCACTCTCAGGGATTTACAGAGTTTACTGACAGACATATACTTGTATCTATTAGCTAACCGCTAACTGCTGCTAACAGACAGGGAGATAGAGGAAACAGCGCTCCTGGTGGTCAATAAGTCCTTTACTACAGATGTAACGTTCAATACAGACACTGCCTCAGTGATCTGACTGGTTTCATGTAAAGCTACTCTAAAGTCTCAGACTGAGAATGTTGAAGACCATTGGAAACATTCAGGGAGTTTCTGTCTGACAGAAATGTTCTTTAAAGCCGGCGGACTTTCACTTTTACTTCCTGTTGTGTGAAACTCATTTAGATTTTTATCGTAATCATGTCTCGTTTTTATTTCCTGTGTCACTGTGATCACTTCCTGGCAGAAATAAGCCTCTGGATCAGAATCATTGTGTGATTTTGAACGGTGTTTGTCGTCGTCTTTAATAACTCGTAGCTGAAATGAACTCTACCTCCTGATTCTAACAAACCTGCAGACGACGACTCGGGGCGACGCTTTCACACCAGCAGCCTTCCACCTGAGTGGCCTTAATGCTGCGTTCACTGTAGCTGGGAACTGAGAGCTTTCTGCTTCACCTCCATCCCTTTAAGGTTGATTCTGTCTGTTTTTACCTTCAACCAGCTGCAATAAAAAACTGCCTTTAACTGACGATCACTGATTCTATATTATATATTTATGGGACAGAAAACACCAACAGAGACTGATGCTGAGAGGAATCAATAATTCCTGATCAGTACATTCTACTGATCAATATTTAAGTTATTTTTTTTTGTTTTTTTAATAATGATTTGAAGCTGAATCGTCCCACTGTTCCCAGTTGTCAGTGAACGCCTCCTCACATAATGAATGTTTGATGAGAAATGAATAATAAACGATTGAGACTCCACATTGTGTTGTTCGGGGTCTGTTTGGGGTCAGTTTGGGGTCAGTTTGGGGGGTCCTTGTAGAACCTTGATGGGGTCTTGGGGATCTTTCAGGGGTCCCAGGTTTCTTCAGAACCTCCAGAGGGTAATATGGTCAAATAAAATAAAAAAGTGATAATTAATTGTAATGTTTTAAAAGTCACAACATTCAAATCTGAAAAAACATCAAATCAATGATCTACTATTATTTTGAAAGAGTTCAGTGAAAACCGGAAATGTAAAGTCAGAAATATTCACAATAATTATGTTTCCGAAAATACAGGAAGATCTGTGGCTTTACCTTCAAAATAAAAGCGGAAGAATGCAGTTATGACGTATTCTGTGTCAACCATTTCGACAGAGTAAATAAATATATATTTATATATAAATATATACTATCAGTGGTACAACAAAGTTTTGCAGTATAAATACAACAAATACACAGAAATATAAATCCCAAATATTACAGGAAACGTCCAGCTTTTATTTTTTAAGAGACTGAAACAAATAATGATTGTAAACTTTACAAGCTATTTCATTCTTTATTATTATTATTATTATTATTAGTAGTAGTAGTAGTAGTAGTAGTAGTATTTATAG